CTATATACATAAATATATTAATCATACAGGAGAGAGAAAATCAATATGAAAAATATTAATAGCTGATAAAGCTAGATAAATAGTATATACGTGTTTATTGATCAAACTTTTCTGAATATTTGAAATACCTGAAAATAAAATATTTGGATAGAGGTGGGATGACATTAGCCTATAAATATTTTTCTTTTAAAAAAATGAATTCAGGGGTCAGTGCTGTGGCACAGTGGGTAAAGTTGCCGCCTTCAGTGCTAGCATCCCATATGGGTGCCAATTCGAGTACCTGCTGCTCCACTTCCCATCCTGCTCTCTACTTTGGCCTGGGAAAGCAGTAAAAGATGTCCCAAGTCCTTGAGCCCCTGCATCCACGTGGGAGACTGGGAAGAAGCTCCTGGCTCCTGGCTTCAGATCGGCGCAGCTCCGGCCGTTCCAGCCAATTGGAGAGTGAACCAGAGGATGGAAGACCTCTCTCTCTCTCTCCCTCTCCTCTCTCTGTAACTCTGATTTTAAAATAAATAAATAAATCTTTAAAAAAAGAGTTCATAGTACAACCCTGCAGTTTCAAAATCTACAACCTTAGTAAATTTACTTCACCAGCACTGAACCATTATAAAACAGCATCTCTAATCAGAAACTAAGCTTTAAAGTCATATTCACTAGTTGGTCTAGAAACACTTTTTTTTTTTTTCAGAAAAGCCCTGTAGTTATAATTACAATAATTCTCAGTAGCCCTCACCTGTGATCCACTTATTCGTAAATAACTGAGGCATTCCCTGGACGGCTGCAGGTGCCGGATTTTCTCCAAGGGTCTAACAAGAACAAGTAGGCAGACTTGCATTCACTTTCTCCTGATAGTGTCTAACTGATAGTGCTCCATCCCCAGGCTACTTGAATAAATAATAAAGGAGCACACAGAGAAACAAAACAGATAAAATCAAATAAAAAGGTTATATACAATGTGAGAGCTATGTTCACAGGGTTGATTCTTGAATGCTATCTAGAAGTTTTCCAGGTAAAAAGAGTTGCTAGCTGTAGAATGAAGAGGACATTCTGGGTTGAAGTCATACATAGAAAACAGAGGATAAGGAGACTTTTGGTTCACTTTGTTTGTTTTGGGTAGTAAAGTGTTAGAATAAAATGGTTACATTTTAAACATGTTGACTTATCAGGGCTTATAAGATATTCTGTTGGAAGATAAATGTGGAAGCAAAATATAGCAAAAATAACAAAATAAAGCAAACCTCTTTGTACTAGGAAGAAATGATGAGAGTGAGGATGACGATAGTGGTGGTGACTGGTGATGGTGGGGATAGCGATGATGATCATTGTCACATTGCACTTTCCAAAATAGCACAAACTTCACATTATGATAGAAGTTATAATTATAATGCTACTTAATTTGTTCCAAGCCTGTGCTAACTAACTTTGCACTCATTTTCTAATCCTCAAAACTATCTGTATTATGCAAGTGAAGAAAAACATCTATGATAAAGTAGGGGTTGAGAAACAGGAAGTACTTTGCCTAAAGTCAATTGTTTAATATAGGAAAGAGCCTATTCAGATTCCTACCCTGGTTGTCTGCATCCACTACATTGTAGAGGAACACTGCTCATCAGGTAGGAATTCAGATATCTACCTACTGGTCTCTAACACATTGTCAAAACATTTTTTGATTTCCACTAGCATCAGTCAACCTCTGAAAGGCAAGAACATATTCTTTGTGGGATTGTTTACTCAGTGAAAGCAATAAGGGGAGTAAACTTAGATACCTGTATTAGGAAACTTGAGCAATTGCTGCCACAACCAAAAATGTCTCCAGACATTGTCAAATGTATTCTGGGAACTAAAATAGTGTCCTGTTGAGAAACACTGCCCAGACAAATCTTGATGATCCTTAAAATACATTGAAAGACTTCCCTAAAGTGCAAACCCCTAAAGAAATCCTGTTTTCGAGCCGGCGCCGTGGCTCAATAGGCTAACCTCCACCTTGCGGCGCCGGCACACCGGGTTCTAGTCCCGGTTGGGGCGCCGGATTCTGTCCCGGTTGCCCCTCTTCCAGGCCAGCTCTCTGCTATGGCCAGGGAGTGCAGTGGAGGATGGCCCAGGTGCTTGGGCCCTGCACCCCATGGGAGACCAGGAAAAGCACCTGGATCCTGGCTCCTGCCATCGGATCAGCGCGGTGCGCCGGCTGCAGCGGCGGCCATTGGAGGGTGAACCAACGGCAAAGGAAGACCTTTCTCTCTCTGTCTCTCTCTCACTGTCCACTCTGCCTGTCAAAAATTAAAAAAAAAAAAAAAAAAAAAGAAATCCTGTTTTCCATTAAAATGTAGATATTTTGTTGCTTTAATGGCAGAGTCTTGCACCAAAAACTGAAATTCTTGGTCTTCTTCATGATCTCCACCTAGAACCCGAATCAGGATGAGAGAAAGCTCATACTTCTAACTGTGTGTAAATCTATTAATCCATACCTTTCATGCAAAATGTGAACTCCCTTTAGCAACTTAAATAATAGATGAAGTTCTTAGGCCCCCTTGTGGCAAAAATCAGTAATAAAAATTAGAGCAAAAGGAAAACAAAAAAAATGGAGTAGTTAATAGAATATTCCTCCCTCTTATAAAATGTTTCATTTTCCATCAAAAGAAAGAAGGGATGGATTCCATGAAATACTTGCTACTGGTGTTTGACATTACAGGACTAAATCAAGGAATTTTTAAAACTAGCTGGTTAGGGCATACTTTAAAATCAGTAGATTGCAGGGGGAACGAGAGTAGTCTAAGAAAAAAAAGAGATTGTTTAGTAAAATAGTTTTACATAATGAAATAAAAAGTGAATTTCATAAAACTAGACTGATTTTTTTTAATTAGAGCTTTGTAACTACGAACAACTCACCTAATTTATATAGTCTTAGATTCTGAAGTTAGAAGCAAGATCAAAATAAAATGAATTAACCATTTTGTAGACTGGAAAACCATTCAACATAATACAAATATTCCTGAAAAGAGGAAAAAGATTGAGTTTCAAGGAGGTTTAGTAAAATTATAGTTAATAATAATCATCCATCCATATTCCCTAAATTCTCCTTCAACTTGGTCTATTGTAAAAATCAAATATTTATGTGTAAAAATTAAATGATAGTAAAAGAATTTGTAAGGAAAATTAAGTATATATATTGTCATCTATATTTCAAAAGCCGAAAAGGAAACAAGTTGATGTTTGTTGATGGTTGCCATCAGCAGATTTGACACCAGTTCTGGGATATTTAGGTATGAAATGAAGATGCATATCCATTTGCACTACTTTACCACAATAAAGACTGTGCAGCATTCTCTCTGAGATGTCTCTCAGAGCTGCTAACAAGGGACACTTCTCAGATACTCCTTTCCATTGTTGCCTTCCTCATACTGCCTTTCCTGGGAGTGGCTCAAGTGAAAAATAAAATGTCCAAAAGTCTCAGCACATAGAAAGGGTCAAAAGAATGAATGATACTACAACATGTGATTGAATCATGTAGAACTTGTTTAATTTGCTCATGTTCTTTACTCTTATATCTCCTGCACTCAGACAAGAACAAGACCAGTTTCTAGTCCACCAAAGGACCTTCTGAATCACTCTATTTTGCCAACTTTTTCTATTTCAGGATTAATCAGAAATACTTCAGGGTAACTCCCTGTACCTCTATGGGGCCCTTTCCAAATGCAGGTTGCCCTTGGAAGCTAGCATCTTAATTCACCTCTGCATGCAGTTACTACCACATATTAGCACATCAGATTTAATTAACAATGTTTGAAAAAAAATGTAGTATGCCAACACCGCGGCTCACTAGGCTAATCCTCCACCTTGCGGTGCTGGCACGCCGGGTTCTAGTCCCGGTCGGGGCGCCGGATTCTGTCCCGGTTGCCCCTCTTCCAGCCCAGCTCTCTGCTGTGGCCAGGGAGTGCAGTGGAGGATGGCCCAAGTGCTTGGGCCCTGCACCCCACGGGAGACCAGGATAAGTAACTGACTCCTGCCATCGGATCAGCGTGGTGCACCGGCTGCAGCGCGCTGGCCGCGGCAGCCATGGGAGGGTGAACCAACGGCAAAAAGGAAGACCTTTCTCTCTGTCTCTCTCTCTCACTGTCCACTCTGCCTGTCAAAAAAAAAAAATGTAGTATGTAAGTTATATCAGGGGAAGTCAGGAAAGTTCTGAGTAGCATATTCTGAAGTGCAGGCAGAAGGTGGTACAGGTTGGGTTCCCCAGGAAACAGACTTTGAGATAATCATGTTTCTTTAGTGCTTCATGGTTTATAAAATGCTACCAAAGTCATTATCCCATTTGACTAAAATAATGATCTGGTAAGATTTGTAGGACTGGAGCTATTGTACACATTTGACAATTTGACATGAGGACTCTAGTGTTAAGTATTTTCATTCATATATCAAACATTCCTTGCTCTTCTAGGTGTAGTCCGTAATGTCAAGATCAGGGGAGCCAAGGGTGAATATGTCCTAAATCCTTCAATCAAGAAACTCACAACCTAATGCAGGAGATGAACATTTCATTGGTTATTTAACTATTACAGGGTAATGCACCCTAAATAAATGCTAATATAATGTGACAAATGATAAAGCCAAAGTATGTATACAGAGAGCTGTATAAATGACAAGAGAAAATATTAATTTTCCTTGAGAGCTTTGGGAAAATCTGCTAAAGGATATTACACTTGCATCGTTCTCCACAAAGCTTTCTTTGGGTGAAAAATAATGAAAAATTCTTCAGGAAGAGGATAAAAGTTACACTGATACATGATAGTGCACATTTTCCTAAGGCTCAAATATTGAATAGGTCTCATGGATGGTAAGTAGCCAAGCTTGTGATAGAATCAGCCTTTTGCCTACAAGTTAATGCTTCCCTTGTGAAATGTTTTGTACAAAAGAGATAGCATTAAATAAATGGGATAGCCTATGGTGTAACACTTTCTTCAGGTTCCCCTAATGCAGTTACCTTTTCCTCTGCTCTTTTCCAGTATTCCAAGATGTACATATTATGATATTTGTTGGTATTGGCTTTCTCATGACCTTCCTGAAGAAATACGGCTTCAGCAGTGTGGGTATCAACCTATTAATTGCTGCTCTGGGCCTCCAATGGGGCACTATCGCACAGGGGATGCTACACAGCCATGGAAAGAAATTTCAGATTGGAATCAAAAAGTGAGCATCCTTGCTGTCATCTGAATATTTTTATCCCCAGCTCCCCCTAAAATTCATATGGTGAAATCTTAACCACCAAGGTACATTAGCAGGTGAGACCTCTGGGTGGTGATTAAATCCTTCAGGAATGGGGGATTTAATCCTCTGCTGCACCAGACCACATTCATGCTGAAATTGTTCTCATTCGACTGTAACGATATGAGATTTTCTTTCACACAGTTAATATTCCTTCCATCTGAGCTCCAAGGTGCAAAAGAATCTAAGAGATATTTTTAAGATCATTTTTAAAAATGGAAATGTATTCTTGTTATGCGGCAGGAAACAATCACTCTAGAGAACTTATCAATTGACAAAACTAAAGTGAAGGAAAGGTAAATTAAAATTTTTAAAAATGTCTGGCACCGCGGCTCACTAGGCTAATCCTCCGCCTTGTGACACCGGCACACCGGGTTCTAGTCCCGGTTGGGACGCCGGATTCTGTCCTGGTTGCCCCTCTTCCAGGCCAGCTCTCTGCTGTGGCCAGGGAGTGCAGAGGAGGATGGCCCAAGTGCTTGGACCCTGCACCCCATGGGAGACCAGGATAAGTACCTGGCTCCTGCCATTGGATCAGCGCGGTGCGCCGGCCACAGCACGGCAGCCATTGGAGGGTGAACCAACGGCAAAGGAAGACCTTTCTCTCTCTCTCTCTCTCTCTCTCTCTCTCACTGTCCACTCTGCCTGTCAAAAAAAATTTTTTAAAAATGGTAAAGCACTTTAAGGACATTTATAGGGACCAGCAGTATGACGTAGTGGGTAAAGCCACTGCCTTGCAGTGCCAGTATCCCATATGGATGCTGGTTTGAGTCCCGGCTGCTCAACTTACAATCCAGCTCTCTGCTATGGCCTGAGAAAGCAGTAGAAGATGGCCCAAGTGATTGTGTCCCTGTACCTATGTGGGAGACCTGGAGGAAGCTCCTGGCTCCTGGCTTCGGATTGCCACAGCTCCAGCCGTTGCAGCCATCTGTGGAGTAAATTAGCGGAGGAAAGACATTTCTCTCCCCCCCCCCGCCTCTGACTTCCAAATAAATAAAGAAATCATTAAAAAATAACCTTTATAACAGAGGCCTTAGAGAGAGTTGTCTCCCCTTATACCGTGTGAGAGTGTAGCCAAAAGGCACCATTTGTGAACCAGGAGGTGGGCCCTCACCGGACACCAAATCTGTTAACATCTTATGCAGGAAACCCCAGCCTCCTAAGCTGTGAGGAAAAGAATTTTGCTGTTTCTAAGCTACCCAGTTAATGGCATTGTAATATCAGCCCAAAGACAGTAATGTCTGTCCACTGTGTTTTCAGATAAATCATGTCTCTACTTACTGCTTTGTCATTTGGACTCTGAACTAGCTGGCAATTTTTCACCCAAGGATCCCAATCAGTTCCTTCCCCTGCTGCGCTGGATTCCACATCAATGTTGTAACCTCTCTGGTTTGACTTAAAGATATGAGAAATCCTCCTTCATAAAATTAATATTCCTTCAATCTCAGCTATAAGGAACAAAAATGAATATCATTTTTAAAATGTAAAAGTGTTGGGGTCTGCATTAGAGCATAGCAGGTTAAGCCTCCTACTGAGATTCTGGCATCCCAGTTGGGCACCATTTTGAGTACTGGTTGCTTCACTTCTTATCCAGTTCCCTACTAATGCACCTGGATAAGCAGCAGAGTATGTCTCAAGTTCTTGGGCCTTTGCACACAAATGGGAGACCAAGATGAAGCTCCAGGCTCCTGGTTTCAGTCTGGCCCAGCCCTAGCTGTTGTGGCCATTTGGGGAGTGACCTAGCAGATGGAAGATTGATCTCCCAATATCTCTCTCTCTCTCTCTCTCCTTCTCTCTCTCTCTTGCTTTTGCTTTCGCTCTCACTCTCTCTTCTTCTTCTTCCTCCTCCTCTCAGTAATTCTGCTTTTCAAATAAATAAAAAATAAATCTTAAAAAATAAACAATCACTATAGGACATGTATCAATCAACAAAACTAAAGAGAAGAATGGGTAAGTTAAAATTTCTACAAATGTTAAAGCAACTTAAGAATATATAGTCCAAAGGAGAAAGAAGGAGTAATGAAGTGAGAGAGGATGAGTAAGTCTGGGAGGAGAACCTGATGGGGCCTGGTTGGAGAAGGGCTTACACTCCGGATAAATTGATGCTGTCATTCATCACCTTACAACTCAGTTTTATTTTTGTTGTGATTATTTTTGGTTTATTCTTTATTCCTTTCAGCATGATAAATGCAGACTTCAGTACAGCCACAGTCCTGATTTCTTTTGGAGCCGTTCTGGGAAAAACAAGTCCAATCCAAATGCTGATCATGACAATTATAGAAATTTCTTTCTTTGCTGGCAATGAATATCTGGTTGGTGAGATATTCAAGGTAAGAATTAGAGGATTCATCCTTGCCTAGCTTTGTGTATCCATTCTGGTCACAATGCATAATATGTGCCTACTTGAAACATGGGTAAATCCTGGTAAGAGTGGTAACACAGCCAATAGTAATCATAGCTATATAGTAATCATAGTTTAATTGTTCATAGAATGCCTATTTTATTTTTTCTTTAAAGATTTATTTATTTAATTGAAAGAGTTACACAGAGAGAGGAGAGGAAGAGAGAGAGAGAGAGAGAGAGGTCTTCCATCCACTGGTTCACTCCCCAATTGGCCACAACAGCTGGAACTGTGCCGACTCAAAGCCAGGAGCCAGGAGCTTCTTCCAGGTCTCCCATGTGGGTGCAGGGGCCCAAGGACTTGGGCCATTTTCTACTGTTTTCCCCGGCCATAGCAGAGAGCTGGATGGAAAGTGGAACAACTGGGTTTCGAACCAGTGCCCATATGGGATGCCAGCATTGCAGGTGGGAGCTTTACCCACTAGGCTACAGCATCAGCCCCAGAATGCCTATTTTAAACAAGGGATTTTACAAACATTATTTCATTTCAGCTTTGCAGAAACACTGTAAGGTAGTTATTGCTGTTACCATTTATACACAATGAAACTGATGATCATAGATGCCAAATGACTTGCCAGAATCTGGATTTAAGCCCAGATTTCTCTAACTCCACAACACTTTTAATATAATATATTGTCTATTAATGATAATTTCAATTTATATCCCAATCACTAAGTAAATAGACATATATAAAGTCTTAGATAGCTTTTGTTAAGGTCAAGGTAAAATTTTTTACCTTCTATGAATATTGCATTGGTTCTCTCATGGATAATAAACAATATTTCTGGGAACTCTAGTGTTTTGTTATTTTGTTTATAATTCTATTGAGTAATTTAACAGCAAATATTTTTAACAACTTTCTAGATGTGGGTGTCAGTGACTAGCAAAATAGTCCTTACCTTTACAGAGCTTACAAACCTGTGGTAGAGAAAGAAACTAGACAAATAATTGTATAAGCAATCTTGTACCTAAAAACACAAATATATACTCACTTAAATATTTTTAGAAAACTGCAATGTGTGCAATGAAAAATAAGTGCATGGAGTGCCTATGTGAAAACATACCTAATTTATATTTTAAAATCATGAAAGGGGTCTCTGAGGATATAATAGATAAGCTGGCCCTGAAGGGCACGTGGGATTTCTCAAGTAACCAAAGGGGAGAGAGTATGTTAAGTCAATGTAACATCAAGTTCACTGATAATGAGGAACTAAAGGAAAGCCTTTAGCTGAAGCAAGATGAAAGAAGTTTACCAGTACAAAATGAAGCCATCAAGGAAAACAGTCTTGACCAAGAAACCCTATAGACTATGTGTGTCAGCTGCTCCAGAGTGAGAAACAGGGAAAAGATTTTGCATAAAATATGATAGCATTGAAAGAGATTTGGACTCAGTATTTGTAAAGTCCAAACCTGATCAGTTGCCACCTCCCACTCTCTTGAAACCATGTAGGGAAGCCAGGCAAGGTTTCATAGTTGCAAAGGGCCTAGGTGCTGCTGAGAGGCTAATGGCTGCCGGAGAGTCAGATGTGCTGGAAGGATAACCAAGTGTGGGCCTTCAAGGGGACTGGGTCTGTTGATGACTACTCAAAGACAGAGAAGCAAAAAGAAGGTCCTTTTTTAGTTTAATTGGTGACAATTTGATCATTTTGAATAAAGTATCATTTTTCTATATTAATAAGTACAGAGAAATTCTCAGGGTTGGGCACACTAAACATTTCCTCAGAGCCAGAAACAGAAAACAGGATCAAATTTACCATGTCCTAAAGAGGAACCTAAAGCATATTTTCTCCAATGAATCTTGGGCCTCAGCTACATGTTATCATGTAGAAGAGTGAAAAAATAGGGGGCAAATGCTAGCCTTTTGAAGCTTCAAGCATTTGAGGAGCAATTTAGTGAGCTTAAAGTACAATGTCCAGGGAACAGTGCTGTGGCATAGCAGGTAAAGCCACCGCCTGCAGTGCTGGCATCCCATTTGGGTGTCGGTTCAAGTCCTGGCTGCTTCACTTCCGATCCAGCTCTCTGCTGTGGCCTTGGAAAGCAGTAGAAGATGGCCCAAGTCCTTGGGCCCCTGCACCCACATGGGAGACCCAGAAGAAGCCCCTGGCTCCCGGCTCCTGGCTTCGGATCAGTGCAGCTCCAGCTATTGCGACCATCTGGGGAGTGAACCAGCCGATGGAAGACTTCTCTTTCTCTCCTCCTCTCCTTCCCTCCCTATGTAACTCTGACTTTCAAGTAAATAAATAAATCTTTAAAAAAAAAAAAAAGGTGCAATGTCCAGCAAACATAAATCATCTTTGTTTTGCATCAAGTGCAACACACAGTATTTCACTGAGACTCTCTATTTCCTGGAGAAATAACACAGAATACATTAAATGCCCACTAAGGATCTAGTCCTTTGGAATCTAAGTGTCACCACAACTCCATTAGATTATAATAGTTCCTGATTTTACAGAACCCTGAAAGTAAGTGTTTGGTAATTTTTCTAAAGTTGTATTGTAAGTAAGTGCCTGAGCAACTAGTGAAAGTCATTTCTGTGTAGCCCCCAAATCTGTATTTTTTTTCTATTTTTTAAAGATGATTTTATTATTTAAAAGGCAGAGTTATAGAGAGAGAAGGAGAGACAGACAGAGATCTTCCATCTGCAAATTCATCCTACAAATGATAACAGCCAGAGCTAGGCGAGGCCGAAGCCAGGGGCCTGGGCTTCAATCTGGGTCTTTCCTGTGGGAGGCAGGGAGTGAAGCATGGAGGCAATCTTTTGTTCATTAGCAGGGATCTGGATCAGAAATGGAGTTGCTATGACCAGAACCAGCACCCATATTGGATGCTTATCTTGCGGGCGATGGCTTAACCCACTATTGCCACAGTGGCAGCCCATTTTTTTTTTCTATTTAACTGCCTTGTTTTAATCCACTTCTTCTTCTCTCCATTTTTTTTGAACTTGTCTAACCAATGAAGCAGTTCTTTCACTGACTTTCCTCCTGGAATGAGTAAATTCACTTTCACATCTATTTATATGAATGACCCTTTTCCCCCTCAGGCTTCTGATATTGGAGCATCAATGACAATCCACACCTTTGGAGCCTACTTTGGCCTGGCTGTAGCAGGCGTCTTGTATCGATCTGGCTTGAGAAGGGGGCATGACAACGAAGAGTCTGTGTATCACTCAGACTTGTTTGCAATGATTGGTGAGTGAAGACAGACTTGCCTGACCCTGTCTCTTTGGGCAAGCATAGGAGAAGGTCAACATCAACGCAGACATGAAAATACTCAACAAGAAACAACCTTTGGATGTTGCTTTCTTCATACTGGCTCATTGCTCCTCTTTTCTCCTAACTATTAAGTAATTAAGCCTAAATGTAGAAACACATTCATTCCCCATAGGAAACTCTGTTCCCTGGACTGTCTTTACTATTCAGAACTAACATCCTTTCTTGTGGTTTGCTGCAGGGACTCTTTTTCTGTGGATGTGTTGGCCCAGCTTTAATTCAGCCATTGCTGAGACTGGAGACAAACAGTACATGGCTATTGTAAACACATACTTCTCTCTTGCTGCCTGTGTGGTTACAACTTATGCGTTCTCCAGCCTTGTCCAGCACCGAGGCAAACTCGACATGGTAAGTGTCATATTAATTCCCATGTAAATTTCACTTAATGATACTGAAAGTTGCTTGGATAAATAGATAATTTCTGCATCACTGCTGAACTACTTGGAACAAGTCACAAGCCATAAATTTTGGAAATATTTCAAAAGCAATAACAATTCATTCATCAAATGTGTACTCTGGGAGGGAAAAAGTGTTCTAAAAGAATTTCGTCTAGTAGCATATATAGTTGTGGAAAAAATCAAAGCCATGAAATATATTTCATGATATAGCTAACTGTTCCTAAGTTTCCCTACTTATTTGTCAGCAAGTAGAAAAAGAATATGATGGTACAAATTGATGCTGTTTTTCCAACTGCAACTTTTCCTTTCAAATAAAGAACTAAATGTAATGTGGGATCCAGCATAAGCTTCTGGAAAAGAAAAAGCACACTATTAGGAATACTGGTGAAACCCCAATGAGGCTTTTTATAGTGATATATAATTCCCTCATTCTATCGTTATGCAAGGTGTTAACATTGGGAGATGCTGGAAATGGAAAGTGTATTTTTGCAAACCTTATATATCTAAAATTAATCTAAAATATTTTAAATCCAAGTTGATCTCTTGAGTCTCTTGTTTTTGAACTAAAGAAATGGCAAATCAGTCACTCTACTTTTTTAACTTGAGAGAGGGAAATTATTATAATTTAATTTTAAAGCATGACTAGGGGAATATATTCCAATTCTCTAAATGTTTAGCAAGTGATTCATGATAGCCACGCACATGTTTCAAGAACTGCATCAGTGGGGCTGGTGTTCTGCTGAAGTTGATAAGGCTGCCACTTCCTATGTGGGCACCACTTTGTGTCGCGGCTGCTCCACTTCCAATCCAGCAATCTGCTAATGGGCTGAGAAAGCAGCGAAAGACGGCCCAAGTGCTTGGGACCTTGCCCCCTATGTGGGAACCCAGATGAAGCTCCTGGCTCCCTGCTTTGGTCTGGCCCAGCCCTAGCTATTGTGGCCATTTGGAGAGTGAACCAGTGGATGGAAGATAGCTTTATGTCTCTCCTTCTCTCTCTCTAACTCTTCCAAATGAGTAAATAAATATTAGAAAAAAAGAATTCCATCAAGAAGCAAAACACAGGACTGACACTGTGGTGCAGCCAGTTAAGCCTGGCCTATGATGCCGGCATCCCATATGGGCACTAGTTCAACTTCCAACTCCTCCACTTCAGTCCAGCTCCCTGCTAGTATGCCTGGGAAAGCAGTGGAAAATAGTTCAAGTTCTTGGGCCCCTGCCCACATGAGTGAGACCCGGAGGAAGCTCCTGGCTCCTGGAATTGCAGCCTTTTGGGAAGTGAACGAGTAGATGGAATATTCTCTCTCTCTCTCTCTCTCTCTCTCTCTCCCTTTCTCTCTCTCTCTGTGTGTGTTTGTGTGTGCATGTCTCTCCTCTTTCTCTCTGAAACTTTACCTTTCAAATAAATAAGCAAATCTTTTTTATAAAGAAGCAGAACACTGGTAGAATATTTACTCTATAAACTCCCTCCCTGCCTCTACAACTTGTTTTGATTTTCTCTCATTACTGTATAAGATGCCATGAGTCTACTAAAGTCTAGAATCCTGCAGTATTCTGAACTCTGCCTCATTCACTCACTTCATTCATGTTGCTACCTTCCACACAGGTGCACATTCAGAATGCAACCCTTGCAGGAGGAGTCGCTGTGGGTACCTGTGCAGACATGACAATCCACCCATATGGTTCTATGGTCATTGGAAGCATTGCAGGAATTGTTTCTGTGTTTGGATACAAGTTCCTGACTGTGAGTACAACAGATGTTCTAAGTCATACTCTAATCTGCACCACTATCTTCTCACATTCCTCCAGCAGAAAAAATCTATAAAGTTTTCCTCCAAAAATACCTTTCCTATTTGGAGGTCATTTGCTTTCCCTTCAGAAATACTACTCACATTTCAAGGTCCAGTGTTCTATTCTTTCTAGACTTCTATATGACAGAAGAGAAGCTGATAAAGCTATTTATAATTTAGCATGAATAGGAAGTTAAGTACTTCTGCATTACTCTCTCTTTGGGACAGTTACACTGATGTTTTTGTCATTGTTGATTGTTGCTCATTTTGTAAAGTTAAAGGCTCTGTGGTCTTTTAAGGATTTAGAATGTCATCAGAAGATGAGAAAGAGTGGGACTTGAAGTCATTCACTTTCGAACTCCTCCACTAAGAACCAAAATAGGTAGTTGTGCCCAGCAGTGCAATCAAAATATTTGACTAAAACCAAATATCAGATGTGGAAGGAGAACTTGGCTGCAAACAGAATTTCTTTTTCTAGGAGGGAGAGAAAACAGGGAGATGTAAACTCAGAAGACACAAATAGCAGATATGATAGATATGAATAGGTCTAGAGATGTAATGCATAACATGAAGGCTACAAATTTTTAAAAAAGGAGTGTATATAAGATCCACATTCAATGAGTAGATGTTAGCTTTTTTAAAGGCATAAAAATACTCATACCTTTAAAAATTGAATAATTATGTGAAATGATGGAGATGTTCATTTGCATCAATATAGTATCTGTTTTACTATCTATATCTATCCCATAACTCCTGCTGTACACCTTAAACACACATAATATTTACTTTAAAATGTATTCTCTGTGGTTATTTACTTTTGTTTTAGAGCTGTGTATATCTAACAAAATAATAAATCTTCCTCCTTTTACAATTTCAGCCACTTATTGCTACTAAACTGAGGATCCACGATACTTGTGGAATCCACAATCTTCACGGCTTACCTGGTGTGATGGGAGGCCTTGCAGGCATTGTAGCAGTCGCCATGGGAGCATCTAACACGTGAGTAAAGGGGTGTGCCTTCCTACCTCTGTTGTATTTTTGCTTGCTTTTGGAGATATCCAGTGATAGGGAGCACTTTGTTTTGTTTTAGCACACAAAGCCACAGTCTGTAAATATTGTCTTTATTGGAGACAAAGAAACACAACCAGGGCCAATATTGTGGTATAGCAGGTAAAGCCTCTGGTTGTGTGCCAGTTTCTCCCCTTCTGATCCAGCTTCTGACTAATGGCCTGGAAAAAGCAGCAGAAGACAGCCCAAGTGCTTGAGTGCCTGCCAACCACGTGAGAGACTTGGAAAAAGCTCTTGACTATTGACTTCGGTCTGGCCCAGCCTTGGCCATTGCGGCCATCTGGGGAGTAAACAGCAGTTAGAAGCCCTCTCTCTTCCTCTCTCTCTGTGTAACTCTGCCTTTCAAATAAATAAATAAATCATAAGAGAAAGAAGAAAAGAAATAAACCAACACAATAGAGTTGTACTAGAATAGGTCGTAATATTATTCATGTTTTTAAAATTAGCATTGTAATTTAAATCTCCCTACCAAAGACAACTCTCCTATCATAGAAAGCAATTCAGTGATCACCATCAGATTGCAGTAGGCTTACTCATTTCCTTGGTCTTACCAAAACAAAGGAGGGGATGTATGTGATTAATTCAACAGTCATTTCCATGCAGTTCACATGAAGAAGAAATAGCACAACGTGGCAAGCAGTGGAGCTAGGATGTCAGGGAGACGGGCATATGACTCAACTATGCTCCTAACTACTTACATGACCTTTGATGTCTCACTCAACCTCTCTGGATCCCAGTTTCCTCTTCCACAAAATAAGAAGATTGGTCTATTTATTCTCTAAAATCACTTCAACCTCTAACAGAACTAGATTCTGCCACGTGGGGGAGACGGACATAAAAATTTAAAAGGTCTGGGGCTGGCGCCGTGGTGCAGTAGGTTAATCCTCTGCCTGCGGCGCCAGCATCCCATATGGGTGCCAGTTCTAGTCCAGGCTGCTCCTCTTCCCATCCAGCTCTCTGCTGTGGCCTGGGAAAACAGTAGAAGATGGCCCAATGCTTGGGCCCCTGCACCCACATGGGAGACCCGGAAGAAGCTCCTGGCTCCTGGCTTCGGATCGGCACAGCTCTGGACGTTGGGGCCAACTGGGGAGTGAACCAGCAGATGGAAGACCTCTCTCTCTCTGTCTCTCTCTCTCACTGTCTGTAACTCTGCCTCTCAATAAATAAATAAAATCTTTAAAAAAATTTAAAAGGTCCAAGGAAAAACAACTATCTATCAAATCTAGGAGCATGAACGAGATGTTAGCAGTTGTCACTTTTAGGCAATAACACTAGAGCAATTTGATACAAACACCATCTTTGCAAAACAGCTAGGAAGTTCATATAGTTCAGATCATTAAGAGAGTAAACGAAGAAGAATCAGAATACTTGATTTTCAATCCAAATGAAATAGGAATAAAAGTGGAAAGTATGTCTGGAAATATTTCAGGGTGACCACTGGATAGAATTGCATGACTTGAAAAGAAAAATCTTCTTTCAATTTTAGAAGATTGAAATAACCATGCTAAAACTATAATAAATATTTGAAAAATCCACTAAATCATATTTTTACTGAATAGAAAATTTGCTTCTTCCTTCATGTGTACAGTTGACCCATTTCATTTTTATATTTCCTTTTTTGCCCCATTTTGCAAATTTGAAGGCCAATCTCCAAAATGTCACTCTTTTAAAAATTCCCTTCAGGACCTAATAGGCTACTGAAACCAAACACTACAATTATTTTTATACGAATCAAGTACACTGAAAGTACATGTCAATGAGCTTCAGTCCTAAACACACTGTGCAGACACACTAAAGATGCCTCATGATTTGAGTTTCTTGGGTTCCATGCCGATAAGTTACACACATGCAGTAAAACAAGTCTATCTGACTCTGGAAGGGTGGGTCTCACTGGCTGGCGAGGCATTGGGTAAGGCGCAAGATTGAGGGTCTAATCCTTGGGTATGCAACTTAAGCCACACCTTCTCAATTTATTTTGGGGGAAAAGATGAGTAGTGGTAGGGGAGAGAGGCAAGCCAAGAAGTCTCATTCACCTGGATATAATTCATAAATTTTTCACAGCAAATAAAGTACCTTATCTGACAGCCAAGACAACTCACATGTGTCTATTCAGCACATTAAAATGCAGATCAGATATTTGGTATGCATAGAACTCTAGGAAGTTAATGTTCTTAAAGGACATTTTTGCAATGGCAGCCTAACTTTTAACACTTTGTGATTTTAGCAAATTCCTGTAACATTAAGAGGCAGTTCAAAACAAACAAACAAAAAAAGAGGCATTTCACAAAAGTAGAGAATAAGATAAATAAATATTTATTAAATATTCAACTTGTTCACTTCTGAAATTTATAAAGAGCAAACTAATCCTAATTCTGAATTGTGGTATAAGTAGAAATATAGGGATGTAAATTGTACAATTCCTGTTTGGAAAACTGTTAGAAGTATACATAATCTTTTACTGATAGTCTCATTTTTGTATAGGTTTTATTTTAGGAGAATAATTGGACAAGTTCATAAGAAAGCTAAGAGGAGAATGGGTTTTTAAAAATATGGAACAATGAGGCAAACTAAATGTCATGCTGTAGAACTATAATTACAGAACATTGGCACAGTGATATGCTCAGTACCAATTCAAATTAGGATCTAGATCTTCATTTACTGACATGAAAGGATATGTAAGACATATTTGAAAAAAATGGAAGACTGTGTTGTGGCACAGTGGGTTAAGCTGCCATTGGCATCCCATATCAGAGTGCTGATTTGAGTTCCAGCTTCCTGCTAATGTGCCTGGGAAGGTAGCAGTGGATGGCCCATTGGGGGAGTTAAACAGCAGATGAAAGTCTACTCTCTCCCTGTCTCTTTCTCTCTCTTTGTCATTCTACCTTTCAAGTAAATAAATGGATAAATCTTTTCAAAAAAATAGTGGCAGTAAGGCACTACAACCTACATAATTCTTATAAAAATAGGAAAATGTGAATTATAGAATTATTACATTTTAATAAATTTTTAGCTTATATTTTTACTCTGATAGGATTTGAAGTATAACAACATTTTCCTTCTTTTTTATTTGGTTCTATATTTTTATAATGCTGTATGCTTTTATGCAAATTTTCATGTAGTAGAAAAATTTAAACTCTTCAAATAGAAAAAAAAACAAATCAGAGTTTAATGAATTCTTTCCCTTGAATGACAAGCCTGTCTCACCAATACACTCTTATTTTCCAAGTGTTTACTTTCCTGGAGTCACTAATTCAATGTTTCAACAACTCTGGATTAATTGCCTATAATGACCAAGGCACTGTGTTGAGGAGATTCACCACATTCCTAGTTCATTTGTCACCCATATGATTTTACTAGACTTTCATCATAATCCTCCATTCCACAAATGATAAGTTTGTTTTTTATTATTGTCATTTTATGGTAGCTACTGCTATGATGACATAGATTTAAATATCTTCAACAAATTGTCTCTTCAGTATTTGCTGAAGTTAGTTTCTCTATCCTTATTGGTAGATTTTCCAGTTTGGCTATAACTGCTTTTTTAGCATAAGGGGAGAAGAGAAGGTAGCCCATGCTGTTTTACAGATTATCCTCAGTTTTGGAAAGCCGCTGACACAGAGCTGGTGCGCAGTAAGCATTTACTGGAGAATCCAGTCGGGGCACGCTATTTTGAGAGCGCTGAAGCCTTCCTACGGAAGCTCTTCCTATTATTCTGAAAGTACAACAAAAGTTGGTTCTTGTTTAAGTGTGCCTAGGAATTTTCTAACACTGCTCAGAGATTTAAAGAAAATGAAAACTTAAAATAAAAACTGTAACAAATGTTGGGAACTTGCTGGTGTGATGCTGCGCTTTGGCCTGAAGATGGCAGACATTCAAACCGTCTGTGAGATTTGTTTGCTAGTGTCAAGGAAAAACAAGGTTCTCTTTGCTTGGCTTCTCAGGTCTACCATGGCAATGCAGGCAGCTGCCCTGGGTTCTTCCATCGGAACAGCAGTTGTTGGAGGTCTGACTACAGGTCAGCATAAAAAGTAAACACTTTCCTGTACTTCATGCTCTCAGTGTGACAGACCATTGCCAATCCACTCAGTTGGTAAATTAGAAAATGTGCTAAGCTTCTGCCAGTAAAGTTAACTATGGAGCTCAAGCCATGATTATATGGCAGCAAGCTAGTTACTAGAGTTTCCTCTTCAGCATCATAACATGTCTTATTTTCCCTCTACCTTCAAAGGTTTAATTCTAAGGTTACCCATCTGGGGACAGCCACTGGACGAGTACTGCTATGATGACTCTGTTTACTGGGAGGTACTGTACACCATTCTAAACAAGAGAGTAACTGATAGTTCCACTTGTGAAAGTTTTGCTCACCTTAAGCCTAGATACCTCTTTGGCATATATATGTTGAAAGCAGATGTACTTCCTATTTATAGAGAAAAATAGAGGAAATGTGTCCAAACCAGATAAAATCAGAAGTTAAGGTACTTTCCAAAGCTAAAACTAAAGACAGAGTTTAGTTCAAAAATGTCCTTTCAATCCTTTGAGAGCAATGAAAGAGCTGTTCATAAAAATAATAGGAAATCTATGAAATAGTGTGAGAACAATATGTAAAAATAGGCGAAACCCAGTAGGATCTGTAAAATTGAATTTTAATAACTACGTATCAAGACGCTCAATGAATAACAAAACAGTCTCTCTCATGTCCTCCAGTTTCTGCCTTTTTACTCCATTGACATTTTCTCCCAAATTATTTGTTGCAAAACTTGACAAGGATAGATGCTCAGGTGTTTTCAGCAGGATTTTCAGGAAGACTGGGTTTGGCAAAAAAGAAATACAGCCAGGGTGGGTGAGATAAATATTTTTGTTCTTCTACTTTTCCCCAGGTCAAACGATTTTTATTTCCAGTTCTTTCTAAGCTTGGATAATTAGTACAGAAATAAACCTTTGTCTCAATGCTAACTTCTGACAGGCCCAGTGAAAGAAACTGTTAAGTGTTCCAATCTTGCTTTCTCTGCAGGTGCCTCGGTGGAGAGAACATGACCATCACTTCCATGATCCTGGTGACCACAGTGAGCTGGAACCTGAAGTCTAAATATGATCCCTGGGCCACAGAATCCTCTCTGAGTATCTGGAATTAATTTTAGATAAACAAAGGAAAGTATGATATCAGAGTAGATATATCATAGACCCCAAGTACCCAGTGTGAAAGGTCCACTGGTGCTACCTATTGATAGTCAATGATTATTTATTTAAAGGGATGTGGCTCATAAAATAGACATTAAAATGGAGTCTTTACAAAACTCTCAACAATGCTTTTACTAGTGTATACATGCATAGAGAGCATTTGATGTATATACCTGTGTTTTTACCAGTAGAAATGAATTTACTTATAAATCAACATTCTAATCATGTCAGTTTCTTCAAAATTAAAAATATGTATATATTGAAAGTAGCAACATGATTGTTTCAGGCAGTGCTTTTCCGATTTTAAAAATGTTCTGTTAAGGACCAGTGTTGTAGAGCAGGCAATTAAATCATGGCTTGCAATGCTGGTATCCTATATCAGACTGCTGGTTGAAGACCCAGCTGCTCCACTTCCAATCCTACTCCCTGCCAATATGCCTGGGAAAGCAGTGATTGATGGCCCAAGTTTTTGGGCCCTTGCCATCCAAGTGAAAGATCTGGATGCAGTTCCTATCTGCTGATTCCACATGGTTCAGCCCTGGCGATTAAGATCACTTGGGGAGTGAATCAGTGGGTGAAAGTCTCTTTATCTCTCCCTCTCTGTTGCTCAGCCTTTCAAATAAACAAATATTTTTTTTTAATTTGCTAGTTCATAATGCTATATCTTTGTTCAAAATTTCTTAATTCCTTTAACATATTTACTATTTGCAACAACAGAGCTGAAATGCTATGTAAACAAAGTCTATTCTGTATAAAATTTTAAAGAATTAAATGTCATTATAAAAGAAAACATTAGTATTTGACTTTATTTTCTTTGGTGGTTGGAATTCAGTTTATTTTTTCAGCATGCGAAACCCTTCTCTCTCTCACTTTTTTTTAATTCAATTTAGTAACGACTACAAACACTCACACCCCATACACACACTGCTATACTCAAATCAAATATATTACTTATGTGTTTACAATGAAAAATTAAAACAATTAAGAAATTAAGAGCAAGCTACAAAGAAATAAGTTTTAGAACAGATAACTGATATATAAAAACATTTCTAGGTGCCAGTGCTGTGGTATAGTAAGCTAAACCTCTGCCTGCAATGCCCACATCCTGTATGGGCGATTGTTCGTGTCCTGACTGCTGCTCTTCTGATCCAGCTCTCTGCTCAAAGCAGTGTAAGGTGGTCCAAGTGTTTGGGCCCCTGCACCCATGTGGCACATCCAGAAGTGGCTCCAAGTTCCTGGCTTCAGACCTGCTCAGCTCCTGCCATTGGCCATTTGGGGAGTGAACCAGCAGATGGAAGACTTTTCTCCCTGTCTCTTAGTCTCTCTGTAGCTCTGCCTCTCAAATGAATACATAAAATCTTTTTTAAAAATTTCTAGGAAAATCACGTAACTTTCAATGTTTGGAAGTGTTTCAGATTTTTCCTCTGCTCGAGGAGTTCTGGCATGTTGCTGTGATGTACATAGATATCAGGAAGGAAACCAGTCCCAACAAAATTAACAGAACTTCAGTCTCTGAATTCTAGAACTTCTGGTGGAGGAATAGAAAGCAGTGACCTATCATCCTGGAATAACTTTATATTTTAGATTTGCTTTATGGAATTAGTTCCATTCTACTTTGCAAAAGCATTTTAATTTCATAGGTGAAATGAAGACCTATATCTATATTGAGCCTGGACAAATTACTAGCTACTTGTTTCCCAAAATTTTAGTGTAATACGGAGGGTTTTCAAGAAGTACATGGAGTGGGTGTATCATGAAAAAATCATTCATGGGTTCAAAAAAGTTGTTTCATCAAAATGACCTTGTAATGATTTGTTAAGTCTGAACAGCATGTAGTTTGGGGCACTAAGAAGGATAAGAAATCAATTCAAAAAGAATACTTATCAAAGCAAGATAAATTCTATTAAAATTGAAGCAAGGACAAATACCAAATTTGGAGTGAAGTTTGGGTAGAACAATGGTGAAATCATTGATGCTTTATTAAAAAGTTATGAAGAGTTGAGCGTTTGGCGCTGCAGTTAAATTGCCAGTTGAATGCCTGCATCCCATATCAGAGTGCCTGAATAGAGTCATGGCAACTCTGCTTCACTCCAACCCTGCTAGTGTACATTCTGTGAGGCAGTAAGCTTAGGCACTTGGGCCCCTGTCACCCACTTGGAAGAACTGGATGGGTTTGCAAGCTCCTTGCTTCAGCCTGGCTTAGCTCTGGCAGCTGTGGGCTTGAGAGGATGAAATCAGGGGATAGATGTCCATCTGTCTCTGTTTTTCTCTGAAAGTCTTTCAAATAAAATGAAAATAGATAGATAATATTTTAAACATCCATGAGAACAATGTTTCAGAGAAATCAGTAGTTTACAAGTTTACATCTTCATTTAAAGAAAGGATGAGACAATGATGAAGTGACAGACCATCTTTCTCAACGTGTGAGGAAAAATTAATCTTGTTTGTGCCCTAATTGAAGAAGACCCATGATTGACAGCAGAAATAATAGCCAACATGGTTGATATCTCACTTGGCTCAGCTTATGCAATTCTGATTGAAAAATTAAAGCAGAGCAAACTTTGTACTCAATGGATACAAAAATCTGTTGTGCAGACAATATGCAAAAGGAATAGAGTTTTTAATATAAACTTTAAATAAGTAAGATCAGAATCCCAAAACATTTCTTCTAAGAATTTTAGCAGACGGTGAAATGTGCTTTTACCAGTATGATCCTGAAGGCAAAGCATAATCAAAGCAATGGTTGATGAGAAGTGGAAATGGTTCAGTCAAGATTAGAGCTCCTGGCAACAGTTTTTTGTCAGGCTCCAGGCATTTTTGGCTGTTGATTTTTCTGGACAGGCAAAGAATGATAGCATCTGCTTATTATGAAGAGTTTTAAGAAAGGGAGCCAGGGCCGGCACTGTGCTGTAATGGGTAAATCCACCACCCGCAGTGCCGGCATCCCATATGGGCACCAGTTCAAGTCCCGGCAGCTCCACTTCCGATCCTGCTCTCTGCTATGGCCTGGGAAAGAAGTAGAAGATGGCCCAAGTCCTTGGGCCCCTGCACCCACGTGGGAGACCCGGAGGAAACTCCTGGCTCCTGGCTTCGGACACAGCTCCAGCTGTTGCAGCCATCTGGGAAGTGAACCAGCGGGTGGAAATCCTCTCTGTCTCTGCCTCTCTGTAACTCTGCCTTTCAAATAAATAAATAAATCTTTTTTTTTAATAAAAAAAGAAAGGTAGCCAAAACTTTAGCAGAAAAGTATCTGGAAAAGCTTTACCAGAGAGTTCTTCACCATGATAATCATATTCCTAATAATTCCTTTCATTAAACAAGGGAAATTTTGTCACAGTTTTGCTGGGCATCCATCCTACAGTCCTGATTTGGCTCCCCAGGCATCTTTTTTCCCCTTAATTTTTAAAATATTTAAAGGCACCCATTTGGGGCTGGCGCTGCGACATAATAGCCTAAGCCTTCACCTGTGGCACAGGTAGCTCATATGGGTACCACTTTGTATCCTGGCTGCTCCTCTTCCAATCCAGCTCTCTGCCTACAGCCTGGGGAAGCAGTGGAAGATGGCCCAAGTACTTGGGCACTTGCACCATGTGAGAGACCAGGAAGAATACACTGGTTCCTGGCATTGGGTCAGTCCAGCTCCAACCATTGCAGCCATCTGGGGAGTGAACCAGCAGATGGAAAACCTTTCTCTCTGTTTCTAACTTTCTATCTATAGCTCTACCTCTCAAATAAATAAATAAAAATAGTTTTTTGAAAAAAGGGCACCCGTTTTTCTTCAGTTAATAACAAAAATGTTTGAGTCTGAAGGGCCAAAAACAGGCAAAATATCTTCTCAATATACTCAATCAACACACAGTAGAAGTTTTCTTTACTTAAATCCAATTTATTCAATTTATCGAGTTAAGCAAAACTGTCTAGTCCTTTTGTAAAACATGCCAAGATGCCCAGATCAAACTGAAAACTCCCACAATACATATCCTAATTTGATAGACCATTGCTTTACTCCCATGTTCACTATTACCTCTTTATACCAATTATACTTGTGATTGTAATAATACAATTCAAACACATACATGAGAATATTTCAAAAATTTTTTGGAAAAGGGAATTAAAAGATATATTTATTTTGGTACCAGATATTTTGAAGGGACCAGTGTCATGTTGTAGAAGGTTAAACCTCCACCTAAAGTGTCATCATTTCATATGAGTGCTGCTTGGAGTCCCAGCTGCTCCACTTCCAATCCAGCTCCCTGCTAATGAGCCTGGGAAAGCAGTGGAACATGGCCCACCTACTTGGGCCCCTACACCAAGTGGGAGACCTGAAAGAAGCTCCTGGGTCCTGGATCCTGACTTCAGATTGGCCCAGCTCTGGTCGTTGCAGCAACTTAGAGAGTGAACCAGTGGTTGAAGATCTCTCTGTCTCTCTCTGTCTCTCCCCTCTCCATCAACCCCTCTTCTTTCTCTCTCACTCCTTGTCTCTCTGTTATCTCTGCCTTTTAAATAAATAAACAAATCTTTAAAAAAAGAAAGTTTAATATCCACATACTTTTGCATAATAAATATTTTGCATAAGCTTTTTGAAGTGCCCTCATGTATTACCAGTATACTTAGTATTTGGCTGATGTGATTTAACAACTTGAATTTCTAAAACATTTAATGCTCACTTACATTGTATAAGTGTATTTAATTAGATTGGTATTGTCTATGTTGAATGTGAGGATATTGGAAAGTGCAAAGTTGAGAAGTCTTCTACATCACCACACTGCTGTTTGGTGCCGCAGGTAACACACCACTGGGATGCCTATATCTTATATTGGGAATACCTGGGTTCATGTCTTGATTCCACTTTAGAATCCAGCTTCTTGCTAACACACACCTTGGGAGGCAGTTGATGATAGTCCAAGCACTTGGGTCTCTGCCACCAAAGGATCTAGATGGAGTTCCCAGATCCTGACTTTGGTCTGGCCCAGTTCAGCTCTTGTGGAGATTTGGGAAGTGAATCATTAGATGGATGATCTCTCTGTCTATGCCTCTTTCTCTATGTCTTTCTGGCTTTCAAATAAGTACAGTAACAATGATGTATGGCCATATGCATAGAGTATTGCCAGCTAGAGAAAACACCTGAGTTATATGTCCAAAATTTTTATTGGGACTTGGTTATGTACTTAATGACCACCTCCATAACTAATCTTCATCTCTAGTTCCTCCAGAGGTCAAGCTAATACCTAATGGCACAAGGCCCATTTCCTAAATCACATTGTTAACCAGCTCCATTACTCAGGGTTAAAAAAATACCCTGTTATCAGGCAGGACATTCCAGGAGCTTAGAGATTACCTCTAAGAAACTGAGAGTAAAGGGTAGACCTCAAACAATTATATGTTATCAGGTTATTTTAATGTTTGTTTGAATGATGTAATTTAAGCAATTTTTCTATCTGGAGCCTTTCTTAAAATCCTCTCAAAATTCAAGTTATATAAATGTACTTTGTGATAGTGGTAATTTTGTATGTTAAATAAATTAGGCTGTAAAAGCAAGCTATTTTAAAACAATGAAAAAGAAAAAATAGCAAACAAATTGCTTTTGCATTAGATGTAAGCAGGACCACAATAGAAGACTGGAAAGTAAACACAAGACCTA